TTGTACGTTTTATTGCTTTCATTTACGTTACTTGTTCTTGTCAAACTGCTTATTAAAAATCACTAGATTCTATTCTATTCATGTTCTATTGTGTTGTCCAACAAGTGGTAGGGTGCGTACCATCTGTATGCTTTACAACGACACGGCATTGACGGTTGTTTTGTTGCCAAAACTACACCGTGCAAACAACGCCCGAAACCGTAGCTGGCTTTGAATGAGGTGAAATGAAAATAAAAAGTACCTTTGCACAAGTAAGTCACTTTTTGCAAACAAGCTTAAGTGAACAGACCCCTCCATGGATATATTAACGCCCAACTATAGCTAGCCATATATGTTAGAAATACAGGTCTGAGCTATATGCACTAGCTAACTGACAATTCATAAGCCATATAGTATGGTCTAATATATGTATTGTCACTTACAGTAAAAAAAATATTGTTACCTGACACGAGCCCCAAACACATACACAACGCTACCACCAAAAACATCATCTTGAGAATCGTCTGAATGTGGTATTTCGTAGTTTTACCCGCGACGCACTGGAGATGTATTTTATTCATACACACCTTTATCGCATGACTTTTAATAACAATGAATTACTGATGTCCTTTCGTTGTGTAATATGACCTCCGACCTCCGAAGTATAGCAATGAGGTCACTGGCCTTCTTTAAAGTGTCGTGACACGACGTCTGAATTAACTTGTATATTTCGGTTCACATGACGTTTAGTTATTTGGTAAAGCCACGAACGTGTTAACCTGTAATAGATCATAGTTGGCTAGGTATTTACCTTGTATGAACCACCAAGGCATACGTGAGTATGCTTAGACATACTTGAAAAGTCGCTTGAGTTTCTAGAATGGGAAAACGACTAAAGATAGTCTGGGATAAATAATGATTTAATTCCTTCAATTCAGAAAATGTGACATTTCTAATTTCGCTATATCAAAAATAAAGTTATTGAAAATACATTCAGGTTTCCACAATAATAAAATATATCATAAGACAACTGAAAATGTATTAAAAATTATTTTGTTTAATTCCTGTTACACGTTTCAGGTAGTTTGGTAATGCAACTATAACATTGTGATGCTTAAGTAATTTAAGTATAAATTGAAATTGTTCTTTGTTATTATACTTTACACATTTCGCATTATTTTGAATAGTGTGTTTTTTATTGGCAATTCACAGTTTGTTAAAAGGTATAATCCATCTTCTATTATATAGCAATGAGAACATATTTTAACTTTTTAAGTTTTTTTTGTATGTATCGTTCTTTTTCTATTGCCAGTTTACTAATACTTAAACTGAAATTTGTAATTGTTTTAACATGTTGTATTTTTTTATCGAATATACACAAATACATATTATTTTCTGTAGGGTTCCTGACTCACTGTGACCGGGCACAATAAAACTAATAGAATCTGTCACATACAATACATCTCAACTTATTCGCTGTGGAAAACATATACATATATAAACTTTATTTTTGTTCGTTTCTTTGTTTGTTTGATTTACACCAGACTTTTGTTCTCTTCAAGTGCGTCATCAATCAAATACAAACAAACCATATATGTACATGTATTTATATCAGTTTCAATTATATAAATAAAGACAAATGTATGGCAATAGCGCCCTCTAGCATTTGTGGGAATCATCTTTATTTGGAATCTTCTGATTAGATGGATGTTGGAGCCTATTGTGTTCGGATTCAATTTATGTCCAAGCATGAATCACTAATTCGACAGTGAAGTGATACTTGTAATGCAGCATGCTGTTTTAATTGCTTTTGTGATCACAAAGTTTCAAATTATCCAATTTAAATTATTAAATTGTCGAATGCATTTATTGATCACTGAAATATCAAAATAATGTTATCATGTGACTCGTATATATCGAGACATTTTTTAAAATTAGATAATGGTTGCATCCAATATTGAAATAAATATTGGTTTATTTCGTTCTACTGTGGATTACTTGAAGCAAAAACAAATTCTAGGAGAAAGTTAGTGTGTTTTTGCCATGTCTGTGACTTTTTTTTTCCAATATGTTTGTGGCTATCCCTTGCTTTGCATAATGTATGTATCAGTGTTATTAAGGATTTATGATGTAAATCAGCACAGACTGTGAGGCAATTGTCACATTTAGTTCTCCAAGAAATACTGTTCTGTCCATGGATACGTAGTTGCAGTTTCTTTTGCTTGAATTAAATTCACTGGCTTTGTACATGCAGGTATACAGACTTGTCTGTTATGGTGACAATTTAGCAAGTCTTATTACTCGAGGTAGTTGGACATTTGCAACATGTCACAACACTCACTTCAAGTACCACGCCTAAGAACGGGTAGTCAAGTCTGACATTGGCTGGAGCATTTTTATGCAGCTGGGGTTAATTTCAGTTACGCCCATGAGCGGATTTAGAGGGGGCTGAGGCGGCCCCCTTATTTTTAACAACCAACAGGGCTTCGCGCCGCATCAGCGCTCGCGAACTTGGCCTTCGGCCAACTTATTCCCCCCCCCCCATTCCAGAATCCTAGATCCGCCCCTGACGCCCATTGTAGTTGTCAGATTCAACAGAAAATTCTAAACGTAATAAATGAACATGATTAAATATCAAATGGTTTAGCAGTTTAGTCTCAGTGTAAAAACTTCGACCCGCCACTGCAGTTCATCACTCGAAGACATATGTATGTTGCCTTCAACAATTGAAAGTAATTAATTTTAGTAATAGTATTACTCGAAAAGAGTGCATGCGCAGTTGCTACAAATTGGGTTGTTATTTGTATGTGAACATAAACACGGTTTCCTGTTCACATTGTTGTGGATCACTGGCGTATGCCACCGAATTATGACAGTGTTCATTGTTGTTGTAACTTTCACAGTTTTCAATAATCTCGTCCAATCACATCTGTGTAATTTGTTCAGTTTTTCTCTTGATATCCATGTATGATAAAAATGTCCATTCCAAGTATCAGAATAGGTCAATAAACTTTTGCACTTAGTGGTTTTGTATAGCATGAAATACCATTCCAGCTAATACCAGGATTTGAACACTCTTGCTTATTCGTTTCCCAAACATGTACATAAATGTACCTCTATATATACATAATTTAATGATTCGTGTCGTTTTATTGTTGTTTTTTGTAATTTCAAATCTAATTTTTCGAGTAGACCTAGAAATATCAGAATCCGCTGATTTCGTATCTTGACATGTAAATACGCTAACAAAGATAACACACCAAACAATGTATGTGTTGCCAAGACGGGTCCAGAATTTTATTTTACCAAGTTTTTATCTATGGAAAAGGTGAAAATAAACCAGCAATTGTGGCTTTCACGAAAAGGGCCTGAAAAAGTTAACAAGAATTTTGATTTGTGTAGTCTATTTTGCTATCAGCTATACAAGTCGTATCTATTGTTCAATGCTATTTTGACACTGGTTGCATGTTTTTACCTGCAACAGTGCTTCAGATTGTGCAGTTATGCATATTAATGAGGTTACATGTCTTATATGGTCATTTAATTATCTCTTGCCAGTTGACGTCACTTGATAACTGGCTGCACGCTCCTATCTGCAACAGTGAGCAGTTATTCATAATAATGAGGTCACATGAACTTATATGGTCATATGTTATGTTAGTCATATTTTTATCCAATACTACATTTTGTCATTATCTTAATGTATTGTTAAAATGTGGAGTCCTAGACCCCCTGAAAGTTGAGTATTTGAGTACTTCCGGGTCTAACAATGCCTTTCAGCAGGCATTATAAGCCAAAAAACGAACAAATTTATATAGATATATTCAGATTTCAGGGAGTTCGTACGAATCTAATGACCCCCTACCCCACCCGCCACACCCGGCCTGCCAAACAAGTATGTTTGTCGGTTTTACGAGAAACTGCTCGCACAGTTAGTTGTCTCGGGGTACATCTAAAGTGATTACAGGAAAGATAGTATACATCTTTAATTATAAAATGGAAAAAAAATGTGTGATTGTACTATTTCTTCACTAGTAGTCCGATATATGTGACAACATATCAACATTCGTACCTTCGGATTGTTGGTTTTGTCATTTATAATGATTTAGTGAAGATAGCAATAAAGAAAACAAATCAATTAATAAACCTTTTATTTTGGCAAACACAAATTCAAGTACAGTAAATACTGACGACGAGAACGTGTCCTGTAACGAAGTACTAGTACCTGTAAATTCACCTCCTTGCCTTGACGTCACAGTCATACATATGACGTCACACATTAAGATGTATTATACATATTTAAACACAGAAATATAAGGTTTACTAATTTCGCGTATGTACATTTGCGACGATTATATTTGCTAAGTGCGGTGACTCAATAGGGTTGGTGACCATAGTCTCATTGAAGTTGCTTCTATATAGTTTATTATCGGCTTTGTTGACACGCTACAAAAAAAAATCATTTTTGGCGGTCTTCGTCCACTAGGGAACCTTGAATAGTCACAGTCTATATCTTCAAATCTCGTGAAAAACATATCAAAGTGTAGTTAAGTACTAACTGCCGCCAAACTGGATGATATGATATCAGGCCTTTACACGTGTACTCAAAATTGTTTAACATATTTGAAATAAAAGAAAAAAATAACGAAAAGTGAAGATTTCTCTCTCTTGAGTAGTGACTTACAATAAGGTTTTACACTAAAGTAAGAATTAATCATATATATATATATATATATATATATATATATATATATATATATATATATATATATATATATAATATGGAAAATCAGCATGAGGAACAAAAGAACATAGACGCGTGCAAATGAATCAAAAATCTTCGGGGAAAACGTAAGTTGCTTTCAATTTCACGTCACGTCACGTGATACCGGTGGTGTCGTAACTAGGCGACGATGATGGCCAGTATACACGCCATGGATGCACCAACCATGCTGATGCCAAGTAGACTTCTTCCTGCACTAATATCGGCGTCGTAGGCGTTGCAGTAATCATCATAGCAACAGGAAACACACGGTCCCATACCTAAAATGAAATATATTAAATAGTCATTAATATAGATCTAAGAAATTTCGCAAAGAAAAATAGAACTACATGCCATATTCTTTTTTTCGGGTGCCCTACTTGAAATCTTGGGGGAATGTTGATATATGGGGTGGAATTTAATATGGAGAAATACTAGTAGAAGAAGAAAAAAACCTGTTATTGGGAAAAACATTTTCAGGAAAAAATCCCTGTGCACACATTGAAGCAGACCGCATTGAGCAATCCTCGGGGGCGGAGCTACGTCACAGACGTTCCACGTTGCTAAGACGCGCACCACTGTACATGCATTTCTATGGGCTCTGTGCGCGCTGCTGTGGAACGCCGGTCGAGCCGGTGAAAATTCGAGAAAACAATACAAACTCAACTTTGAAGTAATCCATAACAATCAAATTTATATATGTTACACACGTAGGGCTAATCTTGTTGCACTGTTCAGAGGAGTCTCAACAATCACCCCAAAGTACCGTTTTCTGCGAGTTTTGGGCCTTTGTTTTCACCGCCGCGGGTTGCCAGGCGGTGAAAATGCCCGGATGTCCGCCCCGAGGATTGCGGAAAAACAACTATCAAGGTTTACGAGAATCGCACAGCGTCACCATCGGTCAAGTGATGTTTTGACGTATATAAAAAAAATCCAAAGTGTGATCTGGCAGGTGCGAAAGGGTTCGATAAACAAAAATTTGTTTGTCTGACTTTAGAAAATCTGATTTTAATACATGTTACCCTGACAAATTTGAATCAGGTCAAGATAAAGAAAAATAGACCGTAAAATTTAAAAAAGAAAGATGTTTTCAGGAGACTCAAAAGATATAATAAATCAAATGTAAAACTAAGATGTACTATAATGTGTAGTAATAGGTACTAGCAAAAGCTTGGACTAAAAAGTACTCGATATATGATACGTACCGTGTTCGTCGCAACCATTCCAACATTCATCATTGGCACAACCACGTTCAACCCACATTCCGTCACCGGTACGAGATCTTTTGCTCTGAAATTATTATACAATATAATATAGATGAAATAATGCCAGTCATGCAGTGTGTGCTTGATTTTCCTGCATAAACGACAGACATACTCACTAAACAATCCGTGCCATTGACCGGATTTTCTATAGATCTAATTGACACACTTTTAGGCAAATAATTTATATATGTGGAATCAATTCGAATGGATTGTCTGAAAAACAGCAATTAATAAATCTTTTTAACACTCACCATGCAACCCTCTTCACACATCATGGTAGGACTGTTCCAAGGATTATAATTACACTCGTCGTATTCGGTACCTTCACATTGAACGCAGGTAGCTAGAAAATAAAGATCAAAAATTGCACATCTGTGTACATGTCATGCCTAATCCGTACAGGGTGTTAAAATACTATCGGTGTGTATAATTGACCCACGTATTTGATAAGTGACCTTTGACCTCAATTGGGGATGTAAAAATCATTGATCGAGATGCATTTAGCTAATACCCTTGAAGAAGCTTAAACTCCGCAAATGATTGTGCTCATTTCATGACGGGATGCCAAAATTATAAGGTTACATGGTAGGTTTTAATCACAGATATAATACGGATTATGTGGTAAAATTCAGACCGCTACGGTTTGCACTGGTGTTTGAATTCTGCACATACAAAATGCAAGGCCATCATGAGAGGCAACGGTAAAAGTTATCACCTAGCACAACACTATTTCACTGACAAAACCAATTCGTTTGAAGCATTAAATAGTGAAACTGTCCTCCTTTTTTCTCCGATCCATCGCGTGATAAATTTCGAAACAAAATGGCGACTACTCGAATCTTAGTTTTCAAGTCGCCCATGCAATCATTTTTATAACAATATTTTGCTAGGATTTTGTAATTTGTATGTGGTTATATTAAAACAAAACAAATCAAAATCATAGCTACTGCCGCTTTAAAGCATTTCTGTGTATGTCAGAATAATTTAATGTCGGATGAACCATCGCTCAAATCTTGGTCTTACAATAATAATAACATAATCTGAATTTAAAACAGGGAGTCGTCATCAGCGCATGCGATAGACGGCCGTAGCGTGTCGTTGTTTACAAACATGCCTCTAACCATGAGCCTTTGCGGTTTGGCGTGCGTTGTTATTGTCGCTTGGGACTCAATTCCCGCGCGTGCGCAGATGACGCATGTATTTAATCATCGCACTTCTCTGGACTGATATTCGTTGCATGGCTTGTTTTATTTAGTAATACAACTGTAGCTATTATGAAATTATGTCATAAAGTTGACCGTTTATAAAGTTATAATAAACATTCACAAGATCGTCAAAACTTACTGTGATACATTTGCCCTGGATCTTGACAATCCCATCCCTGGCACTCGCAAGGCTCGACATCACACGTAACATTCACTAAACAACTGGTACACGGCGATATAACTAAGATATAAGATTAAAAAAAATGGTATAGCTATATAATTATAACTTTGATTAACATTGACAATGGTATTCAGCTCAGTGAAACACTAATGGCTTGCCAATATACAATCGGCAAAGTGTAAATACAAATAAAATCAATACCAAATTAGAAACGGAAACGTACGTTATAATGAGCGTATCAAAATAAAATAGTCGTATAAAATATACATTTACCGAGCAGGATTACGTAATTTATACAACGGCCAAATGATTGACAGTGGGTGTAGCCAATCAGCGACCGCACCCAGTTACCTGGTGCTTAAGATATACACCGTGATGTCACTGGCCATACTTCCCTGCTACACGTACCTTTTTCGCATTTGACTCCAGTGTATCCGTCTGGACATTGACAGTGTTCACCATAGCTGTCGCTCATGCAGTAACCGCCATTAACGCATTCTTCCGCCGGCGCAATACACGAAATTTCTAAATTAATAAAAATTACAGATAATATTACAATTAAAAGTCAATCAATCAATTAACTTAATTATAAACAAAATTAGCCTCTTTTGGTACCGACACACGACATTATAGGTGGTTTCGTATTGGAAAAGAAGTCAGGACTTAGGCTTACCGAATTGCTTGGTTTGATTGAATTGTGTGTACCAGGGCCGAATTTTATTCCTAAATTAGGCCGGTTCATTGAAGGTACTAACGTTAGTACCTTCCATGGCCAGTCTAACGACAGTTTTGATAATCTCTAGATTACGTCTTTATCCTTGACTAAATATGCAAATTAGGTTTCTGGCCTTTGATCAGTCTTTAAAAAAAATTCAAATAATTCTCAGCAGTACTTCCAAAGACAGCATTGTACACTAAAAGATCATTATTCAACAAACCATAAAATTGGGCAGGCCTCGGCACGCTAAATGTGTAACATCCTCATCAAAAAAGCTGAGTAGAATGAGTTATGTCAGAGCTTTGTATTCCCAGAATTGTAGAGTGAGATACATTTGACGCGAATGTATGCATTAAAGAAAATCATGTTTGTTTTTTTAATTTTGTCAGATGTTACCTACTAACTGGAGTGAAGGTGTAACCTGCCTGCCAAGTTTGAACAAACTCGCCAGAAACAAATAACAAAAGACTTAAAAAGCCGTTTCTGGTGAAAATTTTTCTGGCGATGAAAAAAGAGATATCAAAAAGTGAATTTGTGCCCACCCTCAAGCTGAGTAGAATGAGCTATGTTTGAAGTGTTTAATCCCAAATTTGTAGGAGGAGATACATTTGGCGCGAAGCTATTCAAAAATAAGTTTTTTTGGCTGTTGACTAACTAGAGTGAAGGTGTGATCTGCCTGCCAAGTTTGACAGAAGAATTAATACGTGAAATCACTGGAAATCACACACATACACACATACAGGTGTAAACCGTAGTTGTGACGCCACACATTGGATTAACTTTTAATATACTAGTAGTTGAATTAACGCGTTCCTATATAGGGTTGCGTTTTAATTGGAGTTTAATTAAACTCAATTACAATGCAATACAACGTAGAATTGCGTTTTAATTAAGTTTAATTAAATAAAAGTTGAATATCCCGTGACTGAACATAGAAGTATTTGCGAAACTTAGGTTTAGTAACGTGGGAAGGTATGGTACAATTATATTAATATAAATTCAACCATATCTTCCCACTTTATTAAACCTAAGCTTCGCAAACTTGACTTAAATTCGATTAAATATTAATAAAAACTATGAAACATTGTGAGTCGCCATGTCACTTGTACAAAAGCTCCACTTTGTTTGTGTGTATCCGGACCACTGGCTCCACTTCTACTTATATACAAATACGCACACAGTGATTTTAAGGGCACTCCTAGCGGAGCGGATCGCCAATACAAATATCACAACTGTTCATGTTCGCAAAGGGAGATATATTCCATGTGTATTTTGCCATGAAAAATACTATGATTAGCCATGAAAAGTACCAATCATACTTTAATCACGTGACGGTATGCTACTGACTATATAATAACTTACGAGTTTCACAATAAAATCCAGCATATTCAGCGTTGCAATTGCAAAACATATTACCATAACCATCATCTTCGCAGTTACCGTTATTTGAACAGCTCCCCTCATCAGAACAGATTTCTAGAGTAAATCATAGAAACTTTGTTAGAATCCATCTGTCTGTTAACGCGTTTTGTAGATCAGCATATAGTCGTTACGTCATGTAAGTGAATTCACGGGTGGATATCCCACCTATGTGATTGGCCAATTGTAGCAGAATGAAACATATTCTTGTATGCAACGGAAACCAGCCAAGGACTTCCCAGTACTCATTTTCTAGAAGTGCGCCCCCTAACGACGACAGTTTTTTTTTTTGCTTCAAAGATTTTTGAAAAATGTACCGTCACATTGAGGAATGGATACTTACGCATTTCACAGAATCTGCCGGTATAACCATCTTGACAGACACAGTTGTAATCCTCGCTATTTCCGGTCCAATCGCACATGCCACCATTCATACATCCATAACCACAGGAAGGGGGTTCAGGCCTACCAGCTCCTAAATAGCAAATAAAACATGGAGCAAACCAAAATATAATAATACCTGCTTGGGTATTAGATTATATGTGGTTATCGGTCTATTAGGCAGTATGTATTTCAAAAGTTCTTGCCAATAAGCCCATAACATTTGAATAATTACATATACATTGCGGCGACACTTAATCTCAATAAATAGACTGGTGTAGATATGTATCCGAGTCTGTCGGTGAGGGCAGTAGTAGGAATGACAAACTCAACAAGGTCAACGCCCCTAAACTACCAATTCATTAAAGCTACAAAACTGCTACTATTTCTCGATGAAAAATATTGTTACGGATAATTAAAAAAAAAAAATAACTGAAAAGACAATTCATGACTGAAGCTCATAAAAAATGTAAAGTAAATGTCAATAAATTTGGTATTCGTATCGTGATACTACTTTGCTTGCCAATACATATCACTTTCTTTCTTTCTCTCTCTCTCCGATAAATATGTTTCGCCAATATCGCGCGTTCTTGTCCCCTCTCCCGTCTGAGCGAAGGGAATAAATACCTTGTAGCATAAACATATTATTTGCTACTAGTATTTTTAGGCCACGGTGACCCGACACTAACGCCGCGCACAAGCAGTTTATAATGAGTGTATGCATGAATGAATCGGCATTCAGTTCGGGGTGTTTAAATAATCGTGGGGAAAACAGTTTTACTAAAACAGATAAATTCCGGAGTTCTGAAAAAGTCTGCAATCATACCCAATTCATCAATTTATTTAGTAGTTTTGTGAGTTACGTTCTATAAATTACTTGCTTCCCACTGTTACTAGATTCTATTATATTTATGTTCCTTTTGTGTTATCCAACAGTTAAAAGGGTGCGTACCATTTGTGTACTTTACAACAACTCGGCATTGAAGGTTGTCAAAAGTACGCTGTGCAAATAACGCCGCACTCCTAGGACGGAGCGAGACAATGAAGTCAGCCCAATGAGAGTAAAAAAAGAACTTTCGCACTGTCAAGTAAGTCACATTTTCCAACTAAAGTAAACAGAATCTACATCCACCCTATACGTCAGCTTAAGTGTCAGGAGTATGTGTTCAATAATTGTAGCTAACCATTGAGCTAAGTTAAGCCATAGAAATAAAACTATGCCCGTGGCCTATGGTGTAACACACTACTTGTACATGTCACTGTATTTCCAATTTAAGTAAAAAATATTGTTACCTGACACGAGCCCCAAACACATACACAACGCTGCCACCAAAATCATCATCTTGAGAATCGTCTGAATGTGGTGTTTCGTAGTTCTTCTCGTGACTTACTGGAGATGTACGTATTTTATTCACACGCACCTTAATTGCATAAATTTGAATAATGATTATACTGTCGCTATTCCTTTGTATGAATGTGAATTCCGAGGTACAACAATAAAGTCATCGGCCTTCACGTGATGAAAAGCTATTTCATTATACACACCGTGTATACCACCGAGACAGGAATGACTTACTAGTATACTTAGACAAAGGTGAATGGTCGTTTTAGTTTTTTATGGTGGGAAAACATACTACATGAAACTGTTAGTTATTGTATGGTATTGTATGTTAATGCCATTTATAAACTACGGCGCCGCGCTGAATACTTTAAAACACACGGTGATACTAGTGTATATAGAAACGAAACTCTATAATCTGCAGTGTCTCGACACTTAATAAAGATACATAGTTCGAAACTCACTTCATCAACTAAGTGTCATAACCACACCAACGAACACGAATGTGATAATGAATATTGTGACGTCATTTTAATAGATATTACTTACAAATTATGATACAATATTGAATAAAATACATCGTTAATTGCATATTTCACAGTGTTGTATTACACAGTACAATCATGGGATTCGAATCTAAGTCGAATACAGATCCCTGTTTTTAATTAAAATAAATCAATAAAGTGATTCAATTATCCTTCGCAAATCAGTAAATATAAAGCGTATATATCGACAGGTGAATTTATTTCCAGAACACAATTTTCGTAAAATCTACAAATAATAACTGAACATGGAAACGAGGCTGATCAAGATGACACTGGGAGTGATGACCTTTGACCCGCCAAAGAGATATTCTTCTCCACCCATACAGTAGTCATACTGACAACATGCGACGCAATTTTCTCCTTCTTTGTCAGCTGTAAAACAGAACACGTTTCATATCGTTAGATTTCATGCCATCGATAACACACAAATAAATGTTTTATTCAGTAGCATCAAAAATAACAATAAAAAGATTATGCACAAGTAACAGTACGAGTTATGAGTGTTTTATAAAGTTCCGTACAAATGGCGAAAACCGTAATAATGGGAGACAAAATACTAATATATTTTTTATAATTCAAGATGAATAGCACTACTGTGAATTATTCGCTGAGCGAAATTGTTGTTCAGTGTAATATTTCCAAAAAAATAGTTCATTGCAGGATTTGGTTAACATGAGAATTTATCTCACAAAGACATGAAATACGACTTGATTTTTCGAAAAAAACTGATTATGCATTTAATTTATTTTTTATATAACAAAGATCACGTTGCAAACGTTATTCTTAAAAATGAACATCATGGCCATGGACAGTAAATTTTTAGTATGCTTATTAAGACATATTTTGGGTAATTCAGATGAACATATCCGTTCTGTTTGTCCATATAAAACACATTACTTGACTTTTGACTTTGATTTTTCTGAAAATGCGACTTCCTACAAGCAAATGCGATTTAGGATAGGTAAATGCAGGACAACAATATAAAAATGTGGGAAATATCAATGAATCACGTGTTCTGTTAGGCGTGCGTGTAAGGGAGGCCACAACAAAACGATATACCATTGACGTATAAATTGTGACCAATTAAAACACTGAAATCAATCAACGAATCACTGGGCTTGTTTCAAGACGTAGTGGCAAGTTTCGTTCTGAGGTACAATGGCGTGTATTAAACACGTAAGCATTGGGTATATATAAATCTATCAGAAGCAAACGCAACACTTTATATGGAATACGGTCATATGACCCATAGGATACTTACGGCTACAACCTTCCTTCTCCCAGCAGTTTTCAGAACAGCCATGACGTTTAATCCACGGGACGCCATCTTTGAACCAAAGCTCGGACTAGAAAGGAAATGCAACAAATCAACAAATTGCTCTATAAATAAACTAAAAAGGAAACATTGAGCCACATACAATCTGGATTATAAAGACAGACTCAGACCACTAAAAGATTCTTCCAGTTCGTAGTCTCATAATCCCGGTCAAAGGATTCACTCGAAAAGATCGGATGAAGCCATCGCGTTATAAACGCGTTAGTTTATTGGTTGTTTATTAGGAGTGGCAGGCATCCCACAAAAGGGAAATCTGTGTCTCTAATTTGTTCTTATCGTGGTCTAAAAGACAAAGCAGTACACCCACCTTGCAGAATGTCTGGTGAGCCTCACATTCTTCATAATCAAGTTCTGGATGAAGATCCCAGGCAGTGGTACATGCACTTAGTTCATCGTGGTAGAATCCGTCACATACAATACATCTTAACGTACTCACTGTTGAAAACGTTTACATAAATTAGCAGAGGATGGTGATGAAACACTCAATATACATGTATACATCATTTTTTTCACTTCGAAAGGTGTTACCACTTAAATACTAACAAACTACAAATAATTATGCACATGCAAATGCATAGCGTTCAAGCACTGTGGACATTTGTCAAAAAGACATTTTAGCTTGAGATATTAATCGACAGAATAATTTTAACCTACCGTCTTCACAATTATCTCCATAGTGATTTGGTGGACATCTACACATCCCGTGAACACACCAGCCTGCATTGCATTCCGAATTATTCATGCAAACGCTTGGTCTTCCATTCATATCCTCGCGGTCTTCGTCATCTTCCCCACCCTGAGCCTCGGCACACACTGTGTGAATTACCAGCAGATCAGATCATGTATTAGATGAAGTAAGACACTTTGATGTCAACTAAACATGTAATTCTATTGCAGTTGAGGTTAATTTCAGCAAAAGAACGGCACACGGATCATGCTTTAAGTAACCATTCAAGAAAATGTTTATACATGGGGCTTTTAATAATTGAAAATAACCGAAAATAAGTACAATTGCTAATAGACCCTAATAGACACAAATAAGAAGTAAAACTTACCATAGGCTATGCCAAAGATTACTAATGACAAAATAATATATTTCATATTTAAATATTGCCTGATTCCCAATAACCTGAAAACAAACAAAAAACACAAAATACGCCGAGTAACTGACTGATCGCAGAGACGCGTATCTATCACGTGACTTGTCCTCTTACAACATCATGTGAAACAACGCCCATCGTTCAAGTTTGTAATCGAAACCTTGTCACTTAGTGGTTTGTTTGTTTGCCGTCAGTTTGAAGTTTTCTTCATGAGAACGGTCAACAACGTAGGAATGTCACCAGTAATGGGCGCACACTTGACAAAATCCGATCGCAGTCAAACATCGGCAAACTGCGATATTGGTGAACAGTATTTGGTGGTCCATGCGTGATATGAATAAAAAAACACCATAACGTCGAACAAATATAAATACATCTTTTAGAATTTGGTAAATTCATGAACGAAGGGAATGTTCACATCGCCCATCAATAATCGAGTTTTAAATTTTTGACGGTTCAGCAATTCACGAATTGTAACAAACTTGGTTCTTCAACAGTTCGGAATAGTATCGAAATCAAGTATCCTAACATTTTTTTCGAGAGAATCAACTTTAACCTATACTTACGACTGGAACTTTTCAGGTGCACTTGCTGCGTAACCTGTAACTGATTGCTAGGTGACTGCTCAGATGCTTTATATAGTCCGCTCACTTCATCATTGACATTGAGCTAGGGGTGCTGCCTGTGCCTGGGACAAGGCATTATTTGCAGGACCCCTCTTTTTCATGTAAACCATATGCCTATATAGAATATAGGATTATGTTAATGAACGCAAAGGTCACGTTAACGCCGATTTCTGTGGCCAGAAAGTAAAAATGTAAATTGTTTCGTTATTTGTACGTGTTCATAATGTGAACCAGTTACCTACGCCACCGAATTACGAAAGTAAGGTAACGAATATATTATAAGTTCTGACATCGGATTCAGACTTTATACATCGCCATAAAAAAGGTGGTAAATTATTTTGATGCTATTAAAGCATTGTCTCTTCGTTATGCGTACACAAAACTTAGACACATGCTGTTACCGTCTTTACGTCTTTCGAGCGAGAGGAAAACACTTAGAGTGACATACTAGTAATTACCTTGGTCACACGCGATTTGGGACGTTTTGTCAACAAATGGCTCAACCATATTTTTTTTCTATTTACCAAAGCATCCTGTTTTTTCGAATACATATTTGTTATATGACAAGCCCAACGGTTTGAATTGAAGTTTTGTATTTCTATCAAATTGAAAGTGCGGTGTGCAAATTTGATCGAATTTATCACTTTTGGCGTTATATTTAACACCGCATGTTGTATGGGAATGCAATAACTGTAGATTTTATTCACATGTTTTTTCACTTGTTGCACAACCAGCAACTGATCGTTCGGTGACTGTACAGATAATTTTCTTAAAGTAATTGTTTACGGATCATCCATATATGAAATATTGAATTATGTTAATGAACGAATAGTTCGTTTTAACGCATATTTATAATGAACTTGTTTGGATTCACATAACTTGTTTTCGTTATCGAACGTGAAAATAAACGTGGGTTTTATTTTACACTACTGTAGATAACTGGTCGACGTCATCGAATTACGAAAATCAGTTGACAAATACATTATTTTGTTATACTCATTTACTGTTCTTTAAGCTTCTACAAATAATCATGGCCACATTTTGTCAATTTGTTTACGTCCGAAACGAGGATAAAACACCTACAGTTACCCAATTGCTCCGGTCACGCGCGGTTCAAGACGTTTTTGTACGACCTCCTATAAAAGTTAGCATTTGGCGTTATAGTTCACGCCCTGTAATAACTGATAATGACGTACTTGGGTTTTTATACACACGGCTATCGTGACAAAGCCGGAACGATCAGAATATGGCTTTATGTGTTATTTGGTCGATTTAGGATCAACACATTTCAAAAGAAACTCCAAGGTAAAAGCATCCCATCATATAATCGGTGTCTTGACATTTTGCAATTTACCACACCATTGAACTAAGTTCCATGACCACACTAACAAACACGAAGGTGATAATCAATATTGTGACGTCATTTTAATAGATATTACTTACAAATTATGATACAATAAAATACATCGTTTCGAGAATTCTGTTTATATACCAGCATTCATTGCTTATCTCACAATGTTGTTTTTTGGAGAACAATCATACGATGTCAAATTAAGTCGAATACAGATTTTTGTTTTTAACTAAAATAAATCATGAATGAATAAAAATGATGTTACCCCTCCCAGAACAATTACAACCAAAGCGTGCATGTAATAATATGCGAACTTTCAAACTAGATATTGCGTATGGTCTACAAACAATAACTGAACATGGAAACGAAGCTGATCAAGATGACGCTGGGAGTGATGACCTGTGACCCGCCAAGAATATATTTCTCTCCACCGACACAGTCGTCATATTGGCAACATGCGACGCAAGAAGCTCCTTCATTTTCAGCTGTAAAATACAAAACATTTCGTATGGTTAGATTTTATCTACAGGTCAGTCTGCGCATGCGATTTCCCATAGTAATGTATATAGTCATGGAGACAACAAATCAATGCAGCTTACATATTTACGTAGCGATTCGCCAAACCATTCTTTAGTGCATTGGGAAGTGCGCTCTGAATGGCTGGATTCTCGGCTAATTAAGATCCGACACCATTAATACTTTGCCGATACTTAAAGTTAACTATCACTAATTTTAACTTTTCTTTGACCGAAATCCCGATTTGTCATTTTAATGGAATTTTCACGTACTTTAATAATAGCATATTCATAATACAAGTAAATACAATTGGACAACTTGTTAGTTGATTTGTTTTTTCATGATGTTTCGGTTTGCATATCGAATCTATCCCCATAAATTTGGAATCTAAAATAATATATATACAATATCCCTACAATTTCACCAGAAACGATCGGAAGCAAAGGTGTGAAGAACTTGTCTAACAAACGGTCATATCATCAATGGGATACGTACGGCTACAATCCTCTTTCTCCCAGCAGTTTTCAGAACAGCCATGGCGTTTAATCCACGGAATACCGTCTTGGAACCAAACCTCGGACTGAGAAACAAATATAACAAATTATCAAATGAATAAGTCGTATTCTGCTAGAAATAAATTGAGATGATAATATTTCCCATCTCACAATTTGGATTATAAAAATAACGTAATGCACGCACCTTGCAGTATGCCTGGTGATCCTCACATATCTCGGAATCAAGCTCCGGATGGGCCCATCCAGAGACGCAAGGACTTAGCTCACCGTGCCAGAATCCGTCACATACAATACATCTTAATGGGCTCACTGTGGAATACATATTAGTAGAAGAAGATGATGATACATTTATAGAACGGAATTTATTTTTGTTTGATGTACTTATTTTTGTTTCAAGATTTTCTAAGACAAAGTTTTCGAGCACATTGGCCCTTAACGAACTAATGATAAAAAAATGTCTAATATATCTAGTCAATGTGTATGTATGACAAGTCCACGGGAATTGTACACAAAAATACGTCATGGATCAAGAAAATCAGAAAAGAACAGCCACGTTTGGTGTATTTTTTGAAGAATTTTAGATTTCTGGAACATCGACGGATTATTTTCATCTTGAAATATGAACCAACGAACGTTTTATTTCACACCTACCATCTTCACAATGATCTCCATAATGATTTGGTGGACATCTACACATCCCGTGTTCGCACCAGCCTCCATGGCATTCCGGATCACTCATACAAACTACCGGCCTTTCAGCCATATCTCCGCGGTCGCCGTCATGTTCGTCGTCACGATCGCCCGGGCCGTTCTGCGCTGTGAATCATTGGGCCAAGCAAAAAAAATCGATGTCAATTTAACGTATGATCTCATTGGAGCAGGGATTAATTTCAGTAAACAGCGATGTATGAGGCAGGATTTCAGTCGAGAAAAGATGGTTAATTTTGACAGTTCAATTACAAATAGCCGTGAGTTTGAGAGTGCGAGTGGTTAAAAAAATTGAAAATGCGGGGTGTTCAACGCTGAAAGGTACACGTAGATGCTTACCAAAGGCGACACCAACAACAACTAAGCATAGAATGATAAATTTCATGCTGAAAGTGAATCCGATTCCTTTTTCTGAAAAAAAATAAAAATAAAAACAAAAGTTCAGTAGTATAAACTTAATTGACCAATCACAATGGCACGTTAATATCACGTGACTCGGCAGTCGTTCAATTTGTAATAGGAAATTCGTCACTTAGTGGTTTGTTTGTTTGCCGTCAGTTTGAGGTTTTCTTCATGAGAACGGTCAACAATGTAGGAATGTCACCAGTAATGAGCGCACACTTGACAAAATTTGACATGCAGCAAGTTTGCTCGATTCGAATGGTTCTCAACCGTTCCCAGTCAAACATCGAACTGCGATCGCATATTTAGAGGTCGTTGCATAAGATCTAAAAGAACATGGTAATTTCGGACAAAATTATAAATACTTAGTGAAACTTAAAAATTTTGGTAAATCTATGGACGATGGAATTGTTAATATCGCCCATCAAGGCACTAGTTGACGGTCCAACAGTCTATAAACTGCTACAAGCTCGGATCTTTAAGAGTTTTTGAAAATAGATTAATATTGAAATGGCATAAACAAATTTTTTGTTATGGGTAATAAAAATCATGAAATACCAAAATATTTCGTTTCGTTTCGCATTTTCAAACTATACTCACGACTGAAACGTTTCGGGTGCACTTGCTGCAGTTACCGTGAACTGATTGCTAGGTTACCGCATGGGTACTTTATATAGTCCGTGTTACTTTGTCATTGACATTGAGCTAGGGATGCCTTCTTTCATGTAAACAATATGCATACAAGAAATATTGCATTATGTCTCCATAAGCCTTTACATCCAAATCATACATTTGTTCACCAAAACATTATATCTAAAAACATACTTCCGTGCAACGTAATTTTTACATAACTAATTAAAAAGTTTAAATTTATCACGTTTTGTACCATAACTATGATTACCTAAAGGGTGTGACGAACTTCGTGTGAACTCCCGTGTAAACTTCGCATCAAACACACTCAGGTATTTGGTATGTTTTCGATTTTGCTCCCCTTGCTATATTTGCTCACGAGGTGCATTTCCATTCAGAACCTCTTATGCAAACGAGATGCCAGTAACCCAATCAGGCGTGCACAAATCAATCAAAGAGTCAAGGGTAGGTCGTGATTCTGAGCATACGAAATGACTTGAGGTGAACAATGTGGACACTGATGATAACAATGAGCTTTTGCCCCGGTAAAATATAGATTCTACCATTCCACTGTCCTTTTTTGAATGACGGGTTCATAAAGTTCCTGGGTCCCGTTGGGCAACGAAAGAAATCATTTCAAAATTCTTCATGTCGAATTGTTTGTTCAGAAAATCACTTTGATGAGGTATATAACAGCAATAACAACGTATATTTTTAAAGTATAATTTGCCTAAATCCAAAATGGCCGTCATGAAACGGCATATTTCTACCTCTAACATTTTAAAGCTGGAGGGTCATTACCTGCGCACGCGCGGGAATTGAGTCCCAAGCGACGATAACAACACACGCTAAAAACGCAAAGTCTCATGGGTAGACGCTTGTTTGTAAACAATGACACGCTATGGCCATCTGACGCATGCGCAGGTGACGAGGACAATTACAAATGTATGCATGAATGAAGAATGAATTGAACAAACATCGGAACCTTCCAGTATCAGAAAAATACTAATTTCAAATTTAAGCATAATAGTCTTGCAGAGAAATCATTAGTATATTGCAAATAAAGTATATTTATGCAAATATGGAGTGTTCAATTAAATAAGAATGTTGCCATTTAAATCACCAAATATGTTAATTAGAGGTGGAGATATGATGTTCTTTGGTAACATGGTGGCCATTTTAGATTTATGCAAATTAGCAAAATTGTTCAAGAATGACAGCATGTCATTATGCAGATTCATCAAGTTTGTGTTCATATGGACCATGATCCACCAGAACATTTTGTATAGACAAAGTAATTATCCCATTTTACTGTCAGACTAAATGTGTTCACACACGGTTTATTCGTGGCATGAGACCTATGTGGAACGTGGCGCGAGTGAGACGACCACCGCGCGTTAAAAAGGTTCGAGTCGAGTTTCTACACAATGATATTATATATATATAAGTTACTCAAAATATTTCGTGTTACAAATAGGAGATAATTTAAAACTTATATAGGAGAGTATTATGCTTTTATTTTCGGTAAAAGTTCACTAATATTATTATTTACACTTTTGCCATATATTTGTTTTAAAAAACATCCTTGAATACAAATCCAAAATATAGATAATGCAATGAATTACTGTGAACTAAAAGTCAGTCAAGCCGACGGCATTGTAATATAGCTCACCATTACATTAATCCACTACAAGTGGGTTCACTCAACGAATGTCTTCAAATATCTTCAGGTTGAATTTTTCAAGATCGAATACCTCTAAATTCATATTTTAACACATAAATAAGCCTGCGCACATTTCCTTCAATGTTTTATCTTTATGGTTTTATAATTATAATCAGTCAATTTATATTTAATAATTTTAGATAGTTATATGTAACTAACATTCATCGTGTTTCAAAACAGTTTCGGTTTATTTCCTTAGTATTGAAGATGCTATGTACTTTGTGGCTGTTATGATTATATCTTCAGTGTAACATCTTCAGAAGATGGAACGAAAATTGCAAAACGATAAGCCTTATGCAATGATTTGCACACGAGTAGTTGCGCGTATCTTAAACAATAAGATGAGTTAACAAGTATGTGAATGTTGTTTTAAGACAAATAAAACGAAGGATTAATACAACTTTTTGATAAGCCTAAATGATCGTGTAATGTGTTCCTCAATTATATATGTCAAACTATACGGAAAACTGATATATCTGTCTGTCAGCAAAATACCTAAGTATACCTAAATATCTTTGAGACAAAGGCTAATTGTTAAGAGATCTAGATCCATTTGTCATGGAAACAGAATTGTTTGTAAGGATTCTTCATTGCTCTATAACTCTCAACTTTATTGTGACATTGTTTTAGAAAGAGATCAGAGAAAGGCACGTTAACTCAACAAGTGACTGAAAATTTTTCATAATATATTCAGGAGATATTGATATCAAAGGACCAATTAGATTCTGGGAGAGATCAGCATCCTATTCTTTGGAAGGATTCTTCACTATTATCACATACATCACATTTTGGCAAAATATTTAAAAGAGGTTCACTTGGGACAAGCACTGATCGATTAGAATTTGAAAGAGATACGATTTGTCATTAAGTGAATACACTATTCAAGACTGAGACAGCAGCATGTCTGTTGGCTGTTTTTAGACGTATACAATTCTGCCTTGCATACATGCTTTGACCAAAATTTAACGTGGTGCCAAATGACTATCATTGAACTGTTGTACATTGTGCGGTGAGTCATGAATCGCAACAAATAAGCAAAACCAATACCGGATCTCATAAAGTAGAATGTCCCAATCACAGCATTCTTGGGCACATATCTTTGCATGGTTCAGTGCGGACTTGTCTGTGCGTGGTACGGTGTATTGGGTACAAACATTTGTTTGGAAAGGAAGAACATTACCTCCATTGGTGACTCATCATCTTCGCTATTTTCATAACTCCAATAAATACAGTTAACCTCGTCACTAGCCATGCTATATCCAGTGTAACTATCAAATATTATGGTGCATGTCTTACGTAATATGTCACTCCGACGTAAACGTAGACTAGACGGAGAGATATGCTTTTATTTCACTTAAATTCTTACAATCAATTACAATTATGTTTCGTTTTAATATTTTTCAAATCCGCAAAAAATTTGATAAGATACAAAGAATTGGTAACGTAAATACGGCAGCAGTGAACGTACAATACATAAATGTATAAATTTAAAGTACTTTGTCAATACAAACAGTATATGGGTTTCTAAGGGCACCTTCATAAGTATGAACAGGTGTCTAGGGGCAACTTCACGTCGGTATAATACACAGAGGTTAACCTGACAGTTCGTAATATATAAGGGTTTATCAGGTTGTCTAATCAGTGCATGGCGTTTGTCTTGACGCTGGGGTGCCTGGGCAGTGCATACTATACAGGGGCCATGTGGGGGGTTGCCACCTGGGCAAGGCTGATGCAGAGCATGGGCACAGCGTATTATACAGTGGCATGCCAGTGTACATAAAAAAGTGCATACTATGCACGAATCTCGTGTCAGGGTGTCTGAGCAGTTCGTACGTTGGGGTTGTCATGGTGCCTGGGCAGTGTGCACTCGGCATTTGTTGACGAATTGCATGAGGAGTGCGTAATAAGCAGAGACTTGCAAAGGCGCCTGGACAGTGTCAGGCTACTCGGACGGTGAGTAATATGTGGGAGTATTTTTTGCAGGGTTTTCGAGGGTGTCCGAGCAATGCAATGCATACTATGCAGGGGTTGCCAGTGTACCTGGAGGTTGCGAAATATGCATGAAGTTAACAGATTTCCTTAGCAAGGCTTATTATGCATGAGGTTGCCAAAGTACATGTGAAGTGCGTGATGTTCGTGGGATATGTCAGATATGTCAGGGTACTTGGACAGTACGTACAATGCACGGGGTTGTCATAGTACCTGTGCAGCAGTGCGAACTATTCATTGGGTTGTCCGGGTATCTGAGCAGAGGTTACTGTGCATGGAAGTACCAGGTTACTCAAGCATTGCGCACTGTGCATGGGGGCGGTGCTATGTGTGTGTGTTGGGGGGGTAATCTGGGTACCTCAGAGAAAGGCTGTATTATGAGGTAACGGTGTGTCTGAGTAAGGCGTATTGGGTTGGATGGCTGGGAAGTGCGTACTATGCAGGGTTTTCCGGGGTGTCTAGGTAGTGTATATCTGTGCATGGGAATGTCAGGGTTCTTCGAAGGTGCATATTATGTAGTGCAAACTGAATATAATATACAATATACTTCAAACGTAATTGATCTATTATATTTATATTTATAATGATATGCATACATATGATAATATACCGTAAAATTCAGCTGTTACACTTCAAAATTAAAGTGTATAATATTCATTCATATTTCTAGGTGTTCGGTAAAACTCACAAACTGAAAAGTGGAAATAACTTTTAAGCAATAGAGAACTACGAATCAGTAATTACTTTTTACTTTTTCCAGAACACATACAAGTTTTGTTTACATTAGCGTGAAGCCATAGAACATTAAAAAATATCCTTTCAAACAATAATTTGTAAATGTTATATTTTGTACATTTCATCATTTATTATTTATTTAAGCTTTGATCTAAGTCATATAATTTTCAAATGTGAAAATAATTCCTTTCATCATATACATTCATCTAGAAAAAAGAACTGAACATAGAAACAAGGCTGATAACGACGAGACTGGGAGTGATTGCATCTGATCCGCCGAGCATATATCTCTCTCCACCCAAACAGTAGTCATAGTTACAGCATGCGACGCAGTTATGTCCTTCAGCATCAGCTGTAAAGCAAATAACAATGTTTTATATCAGTTTCCATTGTAGAGAAATAATAATTATTTCAAAATGTAACAATCTCGTAAACATTTCATAAACATCTGATACTTACGGCTACATCCTTCTTTCTCCCAGCAGTTTTCGGAACAGCCATGACGTTTAACCCATGGGATGCCGTCTTTGAACCAAACCTCGGACTAGAGGAAACGAATAAAACACATTATTTCTGTTATTCGACATTTTATGAAATCTAAAGTTGTCTAAAGGTGTTTGTGTTACTGCGTGGTTCTGCGTTACTTTGTTCTTATTGCTGAGATGCGATAATGATTTTGCATCTGTAGTTTAAACAAATAAATAAATAAATAAATAAATAAATAAATAAATAAAT